GAAGAGGGCCCCAAGAGGGCCTGCAAGAGGCAAACATCGGCCCATTTCTTTTGTAAAACGTGCGTTTTCAGCATACTCGCTGGCTTCGTCTTCACAGTGCCCCAGACGCCCCCGCGGAGCCCCAACACAGCCCAAGAGAGACCCAAGGGGGCCCAAGACGGCCCAAAAAGGTTGTCCTGTGTGGCTGACGGAACCCCCCCGAGACGGCCCAAGAGGCCCCAAAGCCGGCCCAGGAGGCCCCAAAGACGGCCTCAGGGAGGCCCAAGAGGGCCCCGTTCGAAATAATGTTCCCGGAAGCCTCTCTGGGAACATGATTTCCAGGCTCCCAGGGCCCCCTGGAGGGCCCCAGGACGGCCTCAGCGAGGCCCAAGAGGGCCCGAGATGGCTTGAAGATGGCCGAAGAGGGCCCCAAGAGGGCCTGCAAGAGGCAAACATCAGCCCGTCCCCGTAGTAAAACGTACATTTTCAGCATGCTCGCTGGCTTCGTCTTCGCAGTGCCCCAGACGCCCCCGAGGAGCCCCAAGACAGCCCAAGAGAGACCCAAGAGGGCCCCAGACGGCCCAATCGGGTCGTCCTGTGTGGCTGACGGAACCCCCCAAGACGGCCCAAGAGGCCCCAAAGCCAGCCCAGGAGGCCCCCAAGACGGCATCAGAGAGGCCCAAGAGGGCCTCGTTCGAAATCATGTTCCCGGAAGCCTCTCCTGGAACATGATTCCCGGGGTCCCAGGACGCCCAAAGACGGCCCCCAGAGGCCCCAGACACGCTGAAGATAGCCTCAGGACGGCCGACGACGCCGCCAAAACGCCCCAAGAGCGCCTCCAGAGGCCCCTCCAACGGGCACCAGAAGCCGAAAGTCATAAATTTTCGAATGGTTTTTGAAGCATTCTTGCGCTCTCCCATGTTCCGCCTCCCCACGGTCCCGGACCGCGTCGAAGAGGCCCCCAAGAAAGCCCAGAGACGGCCCAGGTTGCTCCCCAGATATGTCTAGAGGGCCTCGACAGCGCCCCAAGAGAGCCCCAAGAGCGACCCAAGAGGGCCCAAAGAGTGCGGCATTTCGAGGTCTCCGGCCTGAGAGGCTCCTAGGACGCCCCCGGAGGCCATCAAGAGGCTCCCAAGAAGCCCCGTGAGACCCCCAAGGGACCCCCAGGGACGCCCCCTGCGGGCCCCCAAGACACTTCGGCAAATCGTATTTCCCAGAAAGCTATCCGGGAACATGATTCCTTGGGCTTCCGCCCACCGCCCCAACCATGTTTCCAATAGGCTTGCCGACAAGGCCAAAAGACGCCCCTCGCTAAGCCCCCAGAGGCCCCCCTCTTAGAGAGCCGAACAAGTCATGCTCCCGGAAAGCTTCCCGGGAACATGATTCTCTATAGTATATCTCGGAGTCGGCCCGGGGGGGGGGGCGGGCCGCTGCCTGTTCCCCCCATCGGTGCCCACCAGGGGTTGCGGGGAGGGTCCAGAGCTCCCGAGGCGGCACGAGCCCGCCCCGAAGCAGGCCACGACAGGCTAAGGGGGTCCCGAGAGGACCCAAGACGGTCCCACGAGGCCCCGAAGACGCCCAACATGCCCTCAAGACAGCCGACGAGAATTCCACCACGCTCCAGGACGGACTCAAGTGGCTCCCCAAGAGGGTCCTGCAAGGCAAGATTGACTCGTTGTCCGAGTGTTTTGGATTTTGGCGTTCTCGCTTTTCCCGCTTTCCAGCGCTCCCTCACGGCCTCGGAGGCCTTTCAGACCGCTCCAAGAAGGCCCACGAGGCCCCGACGAGGGCCCCAAGACGGCCCAGAATGCTCCCCAGACAACCCAAGTGTGCCCCAAGAACGCGCCAAGAGAAGGCCCAGAGGGGTCCCGAGGCGGCCCGGGCCCGCCCCGAAGCAGGCCACGGCAGGCTAATGGAGGTCCCGAGAGGGCCCTAGACGGTCCCACGAGGCCCCGAAGACGCCCAAGTTGCCCTCAAGACGGCCGACGAGGACTCGAACACGCTCCAGGACGGATTCAAGAGGCTCCCCAAGAGGGCCCTGGGAGGCAAGATTCACTAATTTTCCGATGGGATTCAGGCGTTCTCGCTTTCCCCGCTTCCCAGCGTTCCCTCACGGCCTCGATCGGAGGCCCTTCAGATCGCTCCAAGACGGGCCAGGAGGCCCCGAAGAGGACCCCAAGACAGCCCAGGAGGCTCCCCAGACAAACCAACTGTGCCCCAAGAGCTCCCCAAGAGAGGGCCCAGAGGGGGACCGCCAATCGATATTTCGAGGTCTCTGGCCCTAGAGGCCGCCTGTAGGCCCCCGGAGGCCACCAAGAGGTTCCCACGAAGCCCCGTGAGGCGCCCAAGAGGCCCCCAGGAAGCCCCAAGAGACCCCCAAGTGGCTCCCAGGGAACGCCCAAGAGGCCCCCCAACACACCCCAAGAAATCATGTCCCCAGAAAACCTTCCAGGGACATGGTTCATCATGGGCCCGAGAGTTCCAGGAGGGCCCCAGGGAACGCCCAAAAGACCCCCCCACACACCCCAACAAACCATGTCCCCAGAAAGCCTTCCGGGGACATGGTTCATCATGGGCCCGCGAGTCTCCGGAGGCTTCGAAGTACCATCATACTACAGGAGAGCTGTCTGGGAAGTTGATTGGGAACATGACTGATCGCCTTCTCGCGGCCCTCCGCAGATCGTTTCGCACAAAGTTGCCCCTAGTGCCCTCCTGAATCGACGACGACGACGACGACGACGACGACGACGAAACGACGAAGACGACGACGACGACGACGACGACGACGACGACGACGACGACGACGACGACGACGACGACGACGACGACGACGACGACGACGACGACGACGGCGCGCCCCAATAGGCGACGACGACATTACGACGACAACGACGACGACGACGACGACGACGACGGCACGCCCCAACAGGCTCCCCAAGACGCCCCAAACCCATGCTCCCAGAAGGCCTTCTGGGAATCCGATTCATACGGCCTCCGGCCCCCCTACACAACCATTTTCTCCGAAGGCCTTTCAGAATACATATTGGCATGCGTGGACTGTGGTCCACTACTTCAGTGGATCAGTGAATTCGTCAAGGCCTGGGGCCTGCTAGAACCTGAGCGCGCGCGAAGCGCGCGCGATGGTTCTAGTGTGTATATATAGTGCACGACATAGTTCGCTCCCCCCATACACACACATCGCACACCATCGCTTGCACAGCATCACGTATATTCTCCTCGGAATTCGGGCCCACCGCCCTCCCGAGGCCAGGGTCATGGATCCACCCCTGGGATGCGCAATTTGCATGCAACCGTTTTCCATCGTCCATTCAACATCAGCTGCCCAACCACCACATTGAGGCTGGGATCGACCGCCCCACCACCGTCGTCAAATCATGTTATGCGCGCGCTCTTGCATCAACAATCATCAGTGTTCAAGAGTGCCTTGCAATAGGTGGGGCGAAGTGCGCACATGCGCGCCGTCGCGCGCACATGCCGACACTCGTGAAAACATCCTACGGCGCTCAAGGATATTGAGACCAAGTGTCACGGGCACATATAAAAATGAATGGTGTTGAAACCTGGCTTTGTCAGCACAAGTACGTGCGCTCTTGCGATATATTATTTCGGTTTTCTTAGTTTTCAACAATTGCGACCAAATTGGCCTCCCGCGCGCGCGCGTGTCGCAATCACTCCGGCGCCCCTGCCCGCGTGCTGGGGCGGTGGGGGGCACGATCCTTATCACATAACACCATGCGGGCCACTCGCGTCCGTCGGCCTCGCGCGCATGTCGAAATCCCCCCAAATCTTTCATCACCGACACGTGGTCACCCTCATCGTCATCGGCGTAATCAGCATCGGCGCCGTCATTTGCCAGGCCGTCTTTATCGTCATCGTCGTCACCAGCATCGCTACTATTATCATCGTGTCTGCCGTCGTCGACGTCGCCATGATACCGCGCCCGCCCGATTCGCCGACTCGCGTTGAAGTGCCCGCGCGTCGGTCGCGCCAGACCAGCTGGCCGCTGTGCGCGCAATCTTGCGCGCGCTAACGCGGCCGGGGCGATGCGCCAAGCAGCGGTAAGCAGTCATGGCAATCACAGCCGCGTCGAGCGGTGGGGTCGGGAACGTCAAGTTCGGCAGGGCGAGCTGCACCACACAGAGTACACCAAATCGATTGATCCTCAGAGATTGCACAACACATACTGCGCAACGTGGACTGCACAACGTATCTTAGACCACGTACATTGTACCACATCGACTTCTCCATTTAGGCTGCGCAGCATATAACTGGTTGTAACACACTGCTTTGGGTCCGCGCTGGCTAACATGAGTATACCATTGCGCTGTGGCGCGCTTCCGCCATCGCGCCGTGTGGGGGGGGGGGGAAGAGGGGCGCTGAGGTGAACCAGGCGCGAGGGTGGGCAAGGGGGAGGCGCATAACGTCCCATCCGCAGCTTCGCTGTTGGCCCACCTCTTCCGTCGGAACGTGGGAACCATCGCAGGGGCACAAATATTGATGTCCTTGTAGCGGTGCTCTCTGCTTGCAGCACCCTCAGGATCACCCGCGCTGCAGCTCGTTCCCTTCGAGCTTGGTGGTGCCAGACTGCCTCTGGGCGCCTAGCCGTGGGCCCTTCCGGGGGCGCCGCCTCCCACCGCGGCCCGCCGCTAGGGGCCGCTGCGGCAGGGGGAATCTGGGGGTATCTTCCAGCCCACTGCGGCCCCGGTCGCGGCGCTGCCGCTGCCCCGCGCGCGGGACGAACGACCCCGCCCCCCCCCCCCCGAGCGGGCAGCGGCCTCCTGCCCATCCCCCCGCTCCTCCACCTCGTCGTCTCCCCCCCCTGCTCCTCGCTCCGCCCAGCCTCCATCCCCCCCCGCCCCCCGCCCGTGCGCCCCGTGCGCCCCGCAGGGCCGCTTCGAAGGGCCGGGGCGGGAGGGCAAGTTGCTCGGACGGCGGGGGGGCGGAAGCGCCACCCGCGCGCGACCGACGCGGCGCGCGCCTCGCCCGCCCGCCTTCGGCAGGACCAGCCCCTGAGCGTCAACAGGGCGGCCCGCCCCCGGGGGCGGCGGCATCCGGGGGGGTGGGGAGCGAGCCTCGGCTACCGCCGGGATTCCTGGGCAGGCCGGTCGTGGCAAGCCAAGGTCCTCTCCTGTCCTGCGCATGGGGCCCGCACGTCCTCCTCCTGCATTCTGGTGGCACGGATAGGCTTTGGTTTTGTTGTTGTTGTTGCTGCTGCTGTTGTTGTTGTTGTTGTTGTTGTCGGTGGTGGTGGTGGTGGTGGTGGTGGTGGTGGTGGTGTTGTTGTTGTTTTCTAGGGGCGGGGGGGCATGCTTCCGTCGGAAGAGTCTTGCGCCCTGTCGCGCTTCCTGTCCGATCAAAGCTGATCGTACACGGGAGCAGCTCCATAAAGGGCATCGCCGTCGAGGGTCGAAGGAGTTGGCATCTCTTCTGCGGAAGGGCGGCGGAAGCTGGCAGCAGTGTAGTATGCGCTCTCGAGATGGCAACATGTTCGAAGTCAGGGATGCCGAAACCGACCACGTAGCTGCGACCCTTTGCTGGAGTGACCTTTGGCGCGCAGCATTCGGAGGGGGGCTCCCTCGGCGACACCTAGGAGTGACCTGTCTCTGACATCCTCGCATCGTAAACAAAAATATGACGGAAGTGGCAAGTCGGCCTCCGGGGGTCCTCACCGCGCCCTGGGACCATCAAAAGATGGCCCAGGATGAAGGAAACATCCCTAGGGAGGAACGCTTCTTTCCCAGGGCCCATCTCGACCCGATTGGCCTGCTAGAGCATCAGCCCCGGCCAGCTCGATCCGATTCGATGTTTTGCGATCCGATTCGGCTTGGAGTTTTCGTGGCGCTCTTGTGCCTCCTGGCGCGGCCGACCCGATTTTATTCCGCTTCCGTGCCGATGCGGCCCGATTCGATGCACGCTACGATCCGAGCCGACCTCCCGATTCGATGCTGCCTGAGCTTGCCTTCCACACCCAAGAGGCCCCCAAGACAGCACAGGAGGCCCACAAGACGGCCCCCTTCCAGGAAGGCCAGAAGAGGCCAAACTCAGTGATTTTCCAGAAAGGGTTTTGTTGGATTTTGGCTTTTCACTTCAACATGGCCTTCGACGGCTCAAGTCGGCCCGACAGGCCGCTACACTTTAAGGGTGACTCTTTTTGCCGGAGTGGCCTCTCTGGTGCGCGGCTGTCGAGGAGCGCGGGAGGGGGGCCAGGCCCGAGCACGCAGGCCGCCATCGTCGCACCGCACGGCCTGGCATCGCTCGGATGTGTGCATGTTTTTCTCGGCGAGGGCCCAGGAGGACCATCCTGGACCATCGCGCAAAAAAAACACGCACGAAGCCGAAACATGCACGGGAAACAGACGTCCCAGCGATGGCAGGACGAAGCGATGGGCAAGCTGCGCACCAAAGGTAAGCCCTGCCCAGGGGCGCTCTCGCGTGCAGCCAGCTCCCGAGACCGGGGCTGATCCTTGGCAAGCGCCTGGGAAGCCGACCTTCCTGGGCCTCGGGTGGCGATGGAGATGGACGTGCTGGGGCGTCAGGGCTTCCGCCTCTGAGTGCCACCGCCTTATTCCTCCTCCGCGGCCGCCCCGTCTGTCTCAGTCTCCTCTCCTGCACGCTGGGCAATTCGCTCTTCGGTGGCCCCAATTAGCCCGACCGCTGGTGCAGAAGCTCTGCCTCGCCGCCGACGGAAAAAGTGTCTGGGCGTCATGAGGCCCAAATGTATCCACATACACCGGACTCCTGTGGCGGCACGATGTTTATCATTTTCCTTCTGCGTATTGGTAGCGTACCACTCGCTAAGTGTTGTTGAGTATGTTCGTACTCCTCTTTGCGTCTACTCGCGCTCGCGCCCTGAGTCGTCGGATCCTCCGTGTGTTGCACGACTGTCTGCTTGCCATGTGTACTGCTCACTCAGGTAGCGGTATGGCCATGGGTTGAGTTTCCTATACCGTAGTTAGTTGACCCTGTTGGTTGGCGTGTCGAGTCCGTTGAGTACGTAGTAGTCGTGATATGTATGTGCGTGTTGTTCTACGCGTTTGCGGCCCGACGCATTTTTCATGTGGCATCCTTGTCTGGCTACACAACTCCAATCACAATTTCATCAGTTTAGATGCCGATGCATGTTTCTCGCGAGTATGCACGATGCTGCGCGCATCCAGTGTACGTTCCGTGTTATGCTTAGTGTTTGCAGTATGTAACATATCCGCAAGGCTTGCATTTACAGCGTGCAGTTGTGGTCCTCCTGCCCCGGCGGTTACAGCAAGTATCAGAGTGTTGTTCTGGAAGGTAATGGTCGTTGGCTTGTTCCTACGATCTGTATTGATATACATGCTACCACATTCCCTTGTTAAGAGTCATTTGAAAACAAATGTAGTCGTTAATCTGAGTCTCCGTGGTAGTTTTATTCCCATTGATCATAACATGCAGCGCACTGTTACTAGAATGTGGTACTCCCCCGGCTGCCGACAAAGGTCTGAGGCGAACAACAGAGGGGCGCGTATTTTAACACACGTCTAGGCAACAAAACGAAGAGCACGCATTAGACCGATGGAGACCCCAAGGAAGACCAGATGGTGCTTTTTAGATCGCCCGCGCGATGGCAATGTCGTCAGGAGAGCAGGAAAGCCCGCGATGGAGCCCGATAGTGCATCGTCTCGCGCTGGTTTGCCCACGCGGAACTTCATTTCCACTGCGGGCGACAGAGAGGAAGGGAGAGAGAGAGAGAGAAAACACATATATGTATATACACACACACACACACACCGAACGGAGGTTCAATTACAGCTCAAGCGGGCAGAACAGCTTTTTAAGCATGTGTTTTATTGCGAAGGCCTTACGGCTGATGCCGCCGACCTTGTAGGCAGCGACGACGAGGACAATGGAGGTAGAGGAGTCCAAGATGCCCTCCGATGGCTCGAAGAACCATCGCCTTAATGTTCCGTCCTGAGCAATCGGTTCTGGAGTTGTTGCCATGCTGCGGCTGGAGTACTTTCAGCGTGCACGGCCGCGGAGCATTACAGCTTCACATTGCGCCCTTACTCAGGATTGTGACTGCACTATGCAGGGCCTTGCATCAGTGACCAGGAGCGTTGACGCGAGAGAACGACACGCGCGGCAACGGGTACCAGACTTTGTTTGCAGGGCGGGGGCCTTCTGCGCGCTCCCCCCCCATCCCTGGGACGCCCGCGGGGCAGGGGAGCGGCATTCGGCGAAGGACGATTGCACCACGTCGATGGTTCAGGGGGTGTAGGAGGATGAGGATGCTTCCGTGCCCGGCGTAGGATGATCGCCGTGAACGGGTCGACGATGTGGGTGGTCTTGCTTTTTCGTTTGTAAGCCCGCGGCCCAAAGCTCCTGATGTGTTTATTTTTCTGGCGGGCAGTTTTTCGCCCTGGAACGACTCCCCACCCAACAGGGTGGGGTTGCAGACTTTAGGAATCGCCCGACCCGCCCTGCACACCCTGCACACCGCGGGCGCCAGGCCCAAAGTTTCCTGGTACTCCCTCGGGATCCCGCCTCGCGTTTTGAAGGAATGACGAGTCCAGCCCGTGGCCGATATCTGGTCCCCAAGGGCCCCGTGCTCCCTGGTTACTCTGCCTCGCTTCCTCGGAGTGGGGATCCCTCGGAGCAGAGTAGCGCCTGATGGCACCACTGCCCGACGACGAGCCCCAGAGGCCGAAATCGAGGAGATGTCAGCCCGCGTGGACACTGTGGATGTGCAAGCTCTGTGGTGCAAGCTAGAGGCGGCAACTGGCGGCAGCGTGGCGAGACCTCGCGGGACACGTTCAATCCCTTCGGAAGCAGGGGCAAGGAGCCCAAAGTGCACGCACTGTTTGGGAGAAAAACGCCAGGATTGAACGAACCCTATCGTCGGCGATCTGGAATGAGCGTCCTGTGCGACTATGTCTCGCCCAGTCTCGGCGGCAAGCGAGGGGGGGAAAGTGAGAAGGGGCAGGCCTAATCAGAAGCCTCGGACATCCCCCAGCCGCAGCAAAAGTTCTCTTAAGCCTTCCCCGAAGGCAGACAACTTGTCAGAAGGCGCGAGGGTTTCTGAGAAGCCCCGCCGCCTTCTGAGAAGGTTCTCCTTCTCACTTCCCCCCCCTCGTTCGCCGCCGACCGTCGCCCGCGGACGGCGTGGGCGGCGGCGCGCGCGGCGACGGCGGCGTCGAGGGAGAGCCAGCCAGGCGGCAGGATTGAACGAACGCCAGGATTGAGCGAGGAAGTGGACGCGGGGGAGGGGGAGAAGGAGGAGGAGGAGGAGGAGGAGGAGGAGGATTGAACGAACCCTATCGTCGGCGATCTGGGAGGAGCGTCCTGTGCCACGATGCCTCGCCCAGCCGCCCGTGGACGGCGGCGGCGGCGGCACGGCGACGGCGAAGGCGGCGTCGAGCGAGAGCGCCAGCCCACGGGCTCCGCCGCGAGAGGTGGTGGGGCCCGCGCGCCGCCCGGCAGCGGCCGCTGGGCCGCAGCAGGCGAAGCAGGCCGCGGTAGTCGTCGTCGTCGTCGTCGTCGTCGTCGTCGTCGTCGTCGTCGTCGTCCTCGTCCTCGTCCTCGTCCTCGTCCTCGTCCTCGTCCTCGTCCTCGTCCTCGTCCTCGTCCTCGTCCTCGTCCACGTCGTCGTCGTCGTCGTCGTCGTCGTCGTCGTCCTCCTCGTCGTCGTTAACGTCGACGTCATCGCAGTCCTCGCCGTCGCATTCGTCATCGTCTGCGGGCGGGGGGCTGTCCATAACCACGGCCTTGGGGGTCGTCGTCGCCGTCGTCGCCGACACTTCCGCTCTCGCCGCCGGAGGCGCCGCCGCTAGCCGTCGTCGAAGCCGTCGCTTCGGTCCTCCTCGTCGTCGACGAAGTCTTGGTGGTCGTCGTCGTCGTCGCTTCCCTTGACCGTCGCCACCGAGGTCCTCCTCCCCTGGCCCTCCGTGCGTGTCTCACGGAGCTCCGGTGGCCTCCGGCCCGCTCCGCCACCGTGCCTTTGGGGGCCTCGGGGCGCTGGGGCTCTCCGCGGGGCCTCCTCAGGGGAGCGGGTGTCGGGAGCGTCTGGGGCGCGGCGGGCCCTGGGCACCTGGCCCGGCGCAGCCTGCCGAGGCCCATGAATCATGAAGACCATGTTGTTTCGGGTTGGGAAGTGGGAGAAGGACTCCTCCTCCTCCTCCTCCTCCTCCTCCGCCTCCTCCTCCTCCTCCGCGTCCCTCTCCTAATCCTCCTCGAGGATATCCCTACCCGTCTGCGGCCGAAGGTATCGTTCATTGCGTGCGAGTGCTGCGCTCCTGCCCTTCCTCATCCCAGCCCCTTCCTCCCAGCACCACGGCTGCTCTCCCCAATGGCGTCTGAGGAGCGCAGCTCTTCTTCAGCAGCGGCGGGGCCCTGGGAGGCTCACGCCGCGATTGCCTGGGAGCGCTGGGCCGTCGGAGGCCCCCTCCTCCCGCGGCGACGACGGCAGTCACGGCGGCGACGATCCGAGGCCTGTCCTTCCCTTTCTCCGCTTCCCCTGCCGCCTTTCCCTCCTTCCCGCTCCCAGTGGTCGGCGAGCAAGGCTTGCCTCGGCAGCGAAGGCCAATTGAACGGCTGCCCTGCCTGCCCGCTGTCCGTGTCGTGGCAATGGCAGTGCCCATAGACATCCCGAGGGCCAGCGGAGTTCCTATGTTTCCCGAGCGTGCAGGACACTCCGAGGGGAGGCTATGCCTCAATCAGCCGTCAGTCGACCCGAGCTCGACGCGCAGCATCATTCATTCAGTACACAGCTGGCGAGCCAAGGCCTGGGATTTATCCATAAGCACTGTCTGGGGTGTCAATGTCCAGGACCTCGGCAGGCGGTGGTTCTGGACGTACTCGGGCCCAGGGGTGCCATCATACCCATGTCCACCGCCTGCCGAGGTCCCCGAAGATAGACCCTGCAAGCCGTGGTGATGGACAAACCCCCGCCCGCAGACGATGACGAACGCGACGGCGACGACTGCGATGACGTCGACGTCGACGTCGACGTCAACGACGACGACGTAGACGGCGGCGACGCTACCGGCGACGACGATGACGGCGACGGCAGCGGCGGCGGCGGCGACGACGACGATGGCGCCGTCCGTGCTGACCTGGGTGGCTCTGGCGGCCCTCGCCCTTCCCCCAGGAGCGCTCCGGGCTCACGCCCTCGCCGTGGTCGACGGGCTGACCCGGCTCTCGGGCGCCTCTGCGCCCTGGGGGTCCCGCTTGGGCGCATGCGGCGTACCACCGCCGCCGCCTGCCTTCCCTTCCTCTTCTTCTTCCTCTTCTTCTTCTCATTATTCTTCTTCTTCCCCTTCTCGTGGTCCTCCTCCTCCTTCTCCTCTAGCCCACCGCCTCGTCCCCCGCCTCGTGGTCCTCCTTCTCGTCCGCCGCCTCGGCCAGCCCCCCCCCCCTCCTTTTTTCCATCCTCCATGACTCCTCCTCGTCCACTGCCCATCTTCGAACTGATCTTTTTGGGCCCCCTCCTCCTCCTCCTCCTCCTCCTCCTCCTCCTCCTCCAAACGCCTTCCTGCTCAGGCCTTGGGTCCACGTGGGGCTCCCTGGAAGCAGGTTCCGCAGGCTAGACCCTTTCGCCTGGTGCCCCCCGCTCCCGCCCACCATGTGGGTCCTACAGACGATATTGCACAATCACTCTCGATTTCAGATGCATGGAGAGCGCATGAGATGTCTTTTCGGTTGCGATTTGCAGATGTTGTTTTCCCGCCTGGTACCCAGCAGCGCCGCAGAGCAGGGGACACAGAGACCTTCCAGAAGCTGGAGCGTCATATGATGGCTCGATCATGTTGCGCCGACGCGCATTCAGGCAGAGTCACATTCAGGAGATCATAGAACCTCCCGAAAATCTTGCGGGACGGGGGGGGAGGCAGTGAGACTGAAGAGCCCGACGTTTGACATTCTGGCGATTGTGGCATACGACCCCCCCCCGCAGAAGTTCAGGTCGATCACTGGACGAATACGTGTGCAAAACTCACGTCCTGGCTTCATCGGGCGATACAACGGGCCAAGGCCCGCAGCATGGTAATAGTGGGGGCCGGCACCAATTCGGAGTTTGGTAAGAGAGCTGGGGCGAGCGGTACCCCCACGGCGACGAGAGACGACATGCACGTTGGGCAGTACGCGAACAGTTTCGAAAATGGTGTGAGCGCTGCATTGTGGCGAATGATGAGTATGGAGGGGATGGCGGCCATAGATATTTTGTATGACGCTGGAACGACGTATTTTGCAGCGCTGCCGCACATCTCCTCACATCCAGACCACCTGCGGGGACCGCGTGATGCAGTGCGTGCCACACAAACTTGCGTATACGAGCTATGAAAGATCTGCAGCGTATTCCGTCCCCTTTCCTTCGTGATCGCTGCCCGATGCTGTGGAAGTTGCGGTGCCGACTACAGCCACCCCCCCCCGCCCGAGCATAGTGAAGTAGAGTGGGATCGTGACCTGTCGGGCAAGGAGCTGAAGCTGCGTGGCGCCCCTGAGTTTGTGGCTGAGCTGGAATGACGCACGGAGAGCAGCGCGCCCCTATGGAGACGGGCGCTTCTGACAGAGGACCCTCCCATGGCCTGGGCCCAGCTTGTCACGGACATTCGCGAAGCAGCAAAGACGGAGTACGCGAACCAGTGCAGGCCTGGCCCCACGGATGAATATCGAGCAGAACGTGAGAGATTATTGGAAAAGCGGAGACAGATGAGCGTCAATTTCTTTGAAGCGGATAGACTACGATCACGACTATGCGACAGGGAGATCAGGCGGGCTAGAGTTCGGTTGGATAGAATACGGGCCGACGAGCTGCTATGCGAAGCACAACAAGCGGCTGATCAAGGACATACTAGTACTGCATGGAAGATTGCTGTCCAGATCGGCGCCTGCTGCCATGGAGCACGGCGCCGGCGTTCCAACCTGATCCCGACCTGCGCCCCCGCCCTGGACGAGTGGCAGGAGACGATGGAGTCCAGCGCCGCTGAGGGCGGCTTCTCTGCATCACGAGTGTTGGGCCCTGGTTTTCGTAGCGCAGCCGCTCCAGGACAGCGCGACCTGGGCGATCCTGGTGGGGAGCGGGAAGACATGCGTGGACGACCTGGCACGGCGGCTTACGACGATTGGACGAATACCCTAGAGTGTCTGGAAAAAGCTGCGAGGAGACGGCACGCTCCACCACATTCTGCCACTGGGGAAGGCCTGGCGTTTGGCCCTCAGGGCGGCCGCGCGCGAGGCCCGAGGAAACCGTCCTGAGGGCGCCGGCGAAGCACGAGGACGGGCGCGCGTCCCCTGTCCGAGGCTTGCGGAGCGGCTCTTCGGAATCCCGCGGCAGATCAGGCGGCCCTGTCGCACGCCATATCGGCGGCGCTTGTCACGGACGCTTCAGCCTAGCAAAGGAAACGACAAGTGAGGAACGAAGGCCATGATATTGATTCATTGTTACTGCCCTTCTGGCCAAGCATGGTATAGAGGTATATTTGTTCTGCGCGGAACGCCGAGGCCCCCTGTTCATGCCCGCGGCTACGCGGCACATCGACCGAGGCAGAACGCAGGGCTCGTCGCCAAGTTTCACTCCTGGAGACTGCGCAAGAAGCTCGCATCGCACTTGCAAATGAAGAAAGACATGAGCAACGCCCCCCCTTCCACCGATCACGAAATGCCGGAGCAGGCGATCGGAGAGGTGATCCCAGACACGCAGGACCAGGTCATCTTGCAGCAGCGCCATCGCGAGGCAGTAATGGAAATTCAGGCGGGCGTGGAAACATGATACTCCGTGCCTTCCCATGGCGCTGGCATGGGCGACGGCAGCGCTTGCGCGATGTTCGCACGTTCGTTTGTGAAGCCGCTGGAGGCCTGGAGTCGCAGATTGAGGACGGAGACCCAGGCCGTCTTGGACACAGGAGGAAGTGGCTCTGTTCCGGCGACGGAAGCGGCGACGCTACCTGCCTCGCCCATCCATCTGGAGCAGATGAATATATCCATGCGGGACTACGCAGACGACGTCTCGCAGACGCTGCCCCTCCCTGACGGCGACCCATTTCGAGCAGCTCAGAGGGCAAGGCTGTCGTCTCGCATCTTGTCTGATCAGTTGGAGGAGTCAGAGGATTTTTTGCCAGAAAGTCGATCAGGAGATCACCCTCCTTGTTTTATGTTGCAAGCCCTGGGGGATATACGGCCACTCGAGCCGCCCCCTCTGGACTGGTGCAGTTTCCTGGACAAGTAAAAGATGAGACGGTGTACTTCGGAGGACCGGAACATCTAAACGGGGGGAGCTGGAGCCGAGGTTCGTCCTCAGGTTGACGCTACAAAAGCAGCTTGCTCGGCCGAAGCTAGGCCGATTCTGGAACCAACGCGCGTCCCTGAAACTCAAGCGCATGGCGTTCCCGGGAGCAATCCACAGCGCGGCCTTCTCGGGCCTTGAGGTCTACATTCTGGGGAAGAGGGATTATGCAAAGCTGGACTCGGTCATCTTGGGGTTTGCAAAAGTCGCGCTCCGAGGGGTCGCTCGTCATGCTGGCCCTGGCGGGGATCGCGTTCGGGCCCCGTCGGCGTGGCCCTTGCATTAAAAGTTGAGGATCGCAGACGCTAGGACAGAGCTCTTGATTCGTCGTCTCGTTTACTGGTAGCGTCTGGCTTGCCATCCAGATGGTTATGCGCAGGTTGTTGCGGCTCTCTTCGGGCAGTTCAAGGCGCTAGGCGAACCCCCGACGCCCATCCCCTCTGGCTGGATCCGATCTGGTGCCAATCCGTGGGCCCTGCAGTTGCAAAAAGACGTGAAGCTCCTGGAGGCCACCCCCCCACGGGACGTACTTCGCGCGAAGGGCAACAACATTTACGAACCCTAGGGTCGCCGCGCACTTTAGAAGCAGAAACGCTAAGGACTTCCGCACGGCCCATTGGGAACAGGCTCGCAATGGACCCCTTTAGCTACCCTCGGAACTCCATGCGTCAGGCGCCCCTGAAGCCCCCCAGTCCCTGAAGGTCCCCCTTCAAGAGTTCCACTGCGAACTTCCAGGCGGCGGCGGGGCCCCTTGCGGCCAGGTCTTCTACTCCAGGGCGGCCTTGCGAGCGCGCCAGTGCCACCGCCCCGCGCACGAGATCAGGGCGCATATGCATCAGCTCCTGGCGGCCAACCAATGCTGCCATTGCTCGACCACCTCCTCGTCGGCGGTGCTGGCCAGGAGGCATGCGGTGCAATCGTTGAGGCGTCGCAGGTGCCTGACATATTACAGCGCGCACTCGCCTCCGCTGAGAGCGCCCGACGACATGCGCTGCCCGATCTGCGTGGGCCCAGGGAGTGCGCGCGAGGCTGTTCGTGGATCCCTGTCTGGAGCCGCGCTGGCTTAAGGCGAGTTTCCCAGTCTGCAAGCGACGCGGGCACGCATCCGAGAAATTCACGCCCCACCGCCGCCCGATCTCGTGATACATGTCGAATCTTGCGGACAGGGCACTCGCGACTGGGGCGGAGCAGCGGCGCGGAGAACTCGCCGCTGGGCGCGGAGATCGGACTCGCAGCGGAGATCGATGTCGCCGTGGTGGCCCAGGACCGCGGGCCCAGCCACAGCAGCCCCTTCCTGGGGGGCCCCAGGCGGCGATGCCCCAGCACGCCAAGGCGCTCAACGACGCATGGGCCGCCACCGACAACCACTACGGACTGCGCGAGGGAGACCTCACCGACGTCGATCCAGCGGGCGCAGGCGATGACGCCCATCTTGATGAGGATGGCACTTGGGCGCGAACACAGATCCGGACTAGTGGAGTCGGCTTTCTTTCGTCACGTCTATCGTTTGACCAACCACGACGCGCCGCAGTTGATGATGCTCACAGCGCGCTACTACGGGCAGGAGGCCAAGAGGCTCCGCGATCACCACCGGGAGCAATTTAGAATGGCGAATTCGTTCCCGAGTTGGAAATGCTCCGGATCCCACATCCACGTGCGCGGGTATCACTCATAGGCGCGCTCGTGGCACAGGGGGAAAAAGTAGGGCAGACGAACGCAACCAAGCTCAAGGACTACCACAAGAAGCTCATGCACGAGGAGCTGTCCAACGGAAACCTGGCAGATTTGGTTCGGCATTGCAGACTCCAGACGACGCGCGCACAGGACAAAGTCAAGATTTGGACCGAGGGCAAAGCGATTGGAATGCTGGACATTGTGGTGCAGGCATTGGTGCAGATCGGTGGAGTACA